TCATTACAGACTGCTAAATTAACCCAGTAAACATACTGCTGGCTTATACCCGACAACATTATAGTGGTGCTTAGTGCAAAAAACACGTGAATTTGTACAATGCAGCGACGCTCACAGTCGCACAGTCCTCGGCTGCCATTTCCAGTTTGAAAAGTGGTCCCTCCCCTTCCACTACGTAGCCAAGATGGCGACCATTGTGTGCGAGAAGTGTCCACAGTTCCACATTCAACTTCTTGACCGTTTTGAGTGCACCATCCGGGTTCTCATAGTGCACTGCATTTTTCCATACTTCTCAGTGTGAATGCACTTATACACTCAAAATAGTAAGTGTAAGTACAGAAGTACGCGATTTGAGACACAGCAAGTGACAGAGAGACGGAGAGAGATGCAGGACAGACAGTAATGACAGTAGTTCAGTTAAGTTCAGTTCACTTATTGGTCTCCTTAGAGAAATTTGACTTGGAGCTAGGGGTCAGCATACACATACATACAATCAACATATAGTCACCAACATTAAAAAAACACACATTACAACACATAGTCACCCAGTTAGCCTCAGTGCATCAAATTAAATACATAATACATACATCAGACACACTCCTCATTAATCAATTAGATCGACAATGGAATAAACAAGTTCTTGTTGTTATACCTGCAACGTGGTGCTCTGTACCTTCTTCCCAAATGCAATAACTCATATTCAGGATTCAGTACATGGCCAGGATCAGACACGATTTTACGAGCTTGTCTTATCACTGATTATTCAAAAATGTCTTGAGGAGTGATCGGGGTGTGGACATACCCATTATATTCCCTGCCATATTAATCAGCCTAGCAATTTGGGATTTAATTTCACACTCAGGTTTCCAAATCAGCTGGACATACCATATCTTAACACAGACAGAATACTAGCATTGTAAAAAAAATCATCATTATGTTCCTATTGACCCCAAACAGTCTTAATCTCCGTAGAAAGTGCTGATGTATCTTCGCACAGACATTTTGCACATGTGAGTGCCAGCTCATATCCCTATCAATCTGTACTCCTAGATATTTATAGGAGCTACAGTAGCTTACAATAACATTACTTTAAGTAATAATATTATAATAATAATAATTATGGCTATTGTGGTACAATATGTTGTAAGTAAATGTTAATATATGATAGTATATGTATGTGACAATAATCATATGTGTATAATAACAGTAGAAGTATGGTTAATGATAACAGCAGCAGTAGTCAGCACCAGGCAGGACCACGGCAGCAGCACCACCACATCACATGATCCAGGCACAGCTGCGATACGAGGTAACCTGCCACACAGTGGAGAAGAAAGGCTCTGGAGAAGAAGCCGAGTTAGTGACATGCAGTAGAGCAGAATTAACGAGATGCAGTAACAGGACATAAATGTTAGCAAAGGAGAGAGAAAGAGAGAAGGTGCTCGGTCTATTATAGGAGGTCCCCCGGCAGACTGGGCCTAAATCAGCCTAACTAGGGGCTGGTCCAAGGCAAGCCTGAGCTGGCCCTAACTATAAGCTTTATCAAAGAGGAAAGTCTTCAGTCTAGTCTTAAATGTGGAGATAGTGTCGGCCTCTCGGACCAAAACAGGAAGATGATTCCACAGAAGAGGTGCTTGATAGCTGAAGGCTCTGGCTCCTGTTCTACTTTTGAAGACTTGAGGAAGCTCAAGTAACCCTGCATTCTCAGAGCGCAGTGTTCTGCTGGGATAATATGGCACTATGAGCTCTCTAAGATATGACGAAGCCTGACCATAGAGCTTTGTAAGTTAGGAGAGGGATTTTAAATTAAATTCTGTATTTCACAGGGAGCCAGTGCAGAGAGGCTAAAACAGGAGAAATGTGATCTTATTTCTTAGTTCCTGTCAGTACACGTGTCGCTGCATTCTGGATTGGCTGGAGAATTTTCAAAGACTTATTAGAGCGACCGGATAATAGGGAATAACAGTATTCCAGTTTAGAGGTAACAAAAGCGTGGACCAATTTTTTGGGGGGTGGCTGTAAAAGATGTACATTTTCTAAAAGGTGAGACTTGAGGTTTTTGACAGTTGACAGGTGCTTGCTGCTAGCTTGCCATCATGCCTTTTAAAACTGAAAAATTGTATTTATCAATTTGATATTCTAATTTTAGACTCGGATCTCAAGTAATTTTTTCACATAGCTCAAAGCCTCCTCTGTATGATTTAATTTTTACTGATGCTTTACTTCTTCACTGTGTCTTGCACAGAATGAAGAATATGTAGTAAAGTATTTGAAAAAAAAAAAACAGCTAAAGTGTGGTTTCAGACGGTTGGCTCCTCAACATAGTTTGTCAAACCACAGAGCATATGCATTAATCAAACAGGCAGAAAGGAATGGAGGTTGCTTGCTCTGGTTGCTTTGATGTATTAATTCAAAAAGTGTAAGTCCTATTGTTTAAATGGGTAATTATTTTAAAAAAATAAGACAACTATTGGCATTTTTATGTTTAAATTGTCTATTAAGAGTAAAAATTGTTAAAATGGGAGGGAGTTTTCAAGAATTTTAAAAACGAGAAAAAAAAAAAAAAGATCCCACAATCCCCCCAGCTATGATGTCACCCACTTTACCTATGAACATTCCGTAACACAGTCAGTCAGAATTCTGTCATGGAACTCAGAATTCTGACATCACAGTGCAAAGACCAAAATGTGTGCTAATATGACCTGTTCCCTGTGTCTCGCACAGACTGAAGGATTTGTGGCTATCTCAACCATGTTCAGTCGCATTGACCCTGAAACACGTTTTGGAGTGGAGACATATTCAGACTTTCATACCGCTTCAGAGGTAGGGCGTTGCCTTTTTTGCTCCCATTTCTCTTGTTCATCATGCTGGTAAATGTTGACAGCTGAAATTGCAAAGTGTCACAGCAAATACAGAAACCTGAAGTTATCCTGCACTGATGAAAAATGTAAAACTTATATTGTAAAGCTGGCAGTGTGGGAAGCTGAACTGCATTACTTAAGGAAGATGGGAGCTGAAATACATTGCTAGAAAAGCTGAAGGCTAAACTGTGTAGGAATTTTTGCACTTAAATAGTCGTGATCAGGGAGAATTATGAATGATTATTGAGCACTACTGAAATATGGCGGTAAATAGGAATGAAGTATACTTTTGTCCTCAAGGTTTCTGTAAAATGAACTGAAGGATTGGATTATGGAAAACGTAAGTGAGCTAACAATGTGTTGCATGTAGCAGTTTAGACATGAGGTGTAATAGTTTAATCTGTGATGCTTAGCTGCTTAGAACTACATGAGTTCAGGTGCATTGATGGTGACCCAGTGGGTTGTAAGAGAAATGTGAAACTTGCATTTTTAACAGTTGACAGGTGCTTGCTGCTAGCTTGCCATCATGCCTTTTTAAAACTTTAAAGGTATAATTAGCGATTGTGGTAAATTTCTGAAGTCAGAATTCTGACTTAATCTCAGATCTCAAGTACTTTTTTCACAAAGCCTGAAGCCTCCTATGTATGATGTAATTTTAACCATTGCTTTACTTTACTTCCTGTGTCTTGCACAGACTGAAGCATATGTAGTAGAGTATTTGAAGACTTTTGGAAGATTAATGGCAATATTGTGGTTTTAGACAGGGTGCTGCTCAACATTGTTGATGAAAGATGAAAGAGCTGTTCATCATTAACCACATTTTATGAGCCATTTATATTTTCAAAAGCTGCAGTGTTCCTATAATTTGCCCTAACATGAGTTCATTCTTTTGATTTTTGATGTCTGACTTCATACTCAGACCTGAAATATTTTGTCATGTTGCCCTCAGCCTTATTTATCGGATGTAACTTTTGCCTCTGAAATTGCTTATTTTCTCAGTTTGCCAAAGGAGTAATGTGTAGAGTTTTGGAAGATTAATGGCCAAATTGTGGTTTCAGACAAAGGGTTTTCAACAAAGTTGATCAGTCATCATTAACCATGTTATGAGCCATTTATATTTTCAAAAGCTGCAGTGTTCCTATAATTTAACCTAACTTGAATTTATTCTTTTGATTTTTGATGCCAGCCTTATTTGTCAGATGTAACTTTTGCCTCTTAATTTGCTTATTTTCTGAGTTTGCCGAAGGAGGAATATGTAGATTTTTGGAAAATGAATGGCAGAAGTGTGGTTTTAGACGGTGTGTTGCTCAACATAGTTGATCAGATCAGCCAGATGTTCATCATTAACCACATCTTATGAGCCATTAATATTTTCAAAAGCTGCAGTATTCCTATAATTTACCTTAACTTGAGTTCATTCTTGTGATTTTTGATGTCTGACTTCACACTCAGAACTGAAATATTTTTTGTCATGTTGCCCTCAGCGTTATTTGTTGGATGTAACTTTTGCCTCTTAAGTTGCTTATTTTCTGAGTTTGCCATAAGAGGAATTTGTAGATTTTTGGAAGATTAATGGCAAAAGTGTGGTTTCAGTCCTGGTAGTGCTCAACATAGTTGATCAGAGTGGAAAGAC